CCTCTGTTGGAAACTCTTCAGCTATAAACCTTTCTTATGAATTAATTGTGTTCCTTGAGGAGGAGTTGGTTGATTTAATCGCAAAGCTTTCGTTGTTCCCCTCTCTTCTAGACAAAATCTTCACAGCAGACCTTACTATGGAATGGACTTCTTTAAATTCTCCATGATTGATGATATAATTGGCGTCGGTGGCATTGCGATTAGGACGCTCGCCGACCATGTACATGGTCCAGGGTTCGATTCCCGGCCACCAACGCGCTGCTTTATCTCGCTAAGCTAGAAGTAAAACTGGTAAAGAGGAAAGGCTGGGCATGAGGTTAGCAACCCCATCCTGTAAAAATAATCACCACTGCTACAGAAACTTCAAGCTGGCTCTAGCTTGAAGGTGCCCTATGTTCCACTGGGAACGTGAAGGATGATATAATTGTGTCTCCTGCCAGCAGTCTTCGTGACTGGTTATTAATTTACGTCTGTATTTATCATATTTTTATTGACTTGGAGTTGAAACTTTATTGTCACGTGATGATTTACTTTTTATTAGCTGATAAATTTGGTTTATAATAATGAGTGTTTGTTAATCCCTGGCTGATTCACCTGAGTACCAACCAACCAGGCTTCTAGGAATTCCCTAAATTCACTTTTGATGTTTCCTCAGTATAAAATTTCTATGTTCTCCCACTCATCAAATTGGTGTCCATAATTATCGCCATGCATTGATATGAAACAGTGCGTCGGTGGTATAGTGGTTAGGACGCTCGCCGACCATGCACATTGTCCGGGTTCGACCCCCGGCCGGCGCACTCCTTTACTTTGCAGAGTCAAAAATAATACTGGTAAAGAGGAAAAGGTTGGGCATGAGGCTAGCAATCCCATCCCCAAAAATTAAACACTGCTACAGAAACTTCAAGCCACTAGCTTGAGCCCTATGTTCCACTGGGGAGAACGTGAAGGAAAAAAAACTGATATGAAACAAAAAAATAAATCACGTATTTTCACAGTCAATTTGTGTTCTTTGATTCGGATTCGAAGAGGATGTCCACTCCACCAAAAATGCAGTCAGCGGATTCCTAGAAGCCTGGATCAGCCAGCGATTAACAAGCATATCATTATAAGTCAAATTTACCAGCTAATAAAAAGTAAATCACATGTGACAAGAAAGTTTGAACTCTAAGTCAATAAACATATGGTCAGCAGAGACGTAAATTGACAATCGGGGGAGGACGAAAGCTTTGCAATTTATTCCACCAGCTCCTCCTCAGAGAACACAACTACTAATTTAATATCCATCCACCCCTGAGCTACAAATCTTCTCTATTATATTTAAAGTACACCCCCTTATCCAACCACCACCTCATAGATCGAACTCAGTATGTTCAGGTTAAAAGTCAAGCACCCCAATATATACTACTAATTAATTTTGAAGTCAATTATATATCTCTCTGCCAACTGACACATGAAAACAAATATTTTTATCTTATAACTGTAAGCACCACTTGATGATGAAAGGAGGAATTATTGTAAAGAATAGTCTTCATTTGTTTAGACCAACTTTTGCAATTTATAATATATGGGGAATATTTCACACTCTCTTAAATTTATTCACATGGTGGATTTGAATGTATTTTTGATGAACTACGACAATGTGTTTTTAAGGTGGACATATGTACTGTCAAGATAGCTAGGATATAATAACAGGTATATTTTGACAAATTCTATTCTGTCATGTGACTGGTTTCAACGTAGAACTACTTTGTACTGATGTACCAGCAGTTCGATTCGCCACACCTCCTCCATGTAGCACACAAAGCAAGAGAAGAAAGTAAACAGAAATGCAGAACAGCGACAGCAAGGAGAGAAATAAGGCGCAAAAGTATAGTAATATGGAAGAAGAACAATAGAGTTTTATTGGATAAGTTACAAGGAGTGGAGTGCATCTGCGCCAGCCAGCCAGCCATTGAGAACGATGATCACTTTGAGCCATATCACCAATTGTCTCCATCCTTCAATGGTTTTTACTGTCCCGAGGACATAAACCAGTAAGTCAGGCAGTCTACACCTTCCTACGTAGCCGGCTTAAACTAACTATTGTGGATTTAATTGACTGATGAAGCCGTGTTTTGGTTCGACCACTACTAGCTGTCTCTTTGCCAACCTGATCAATCCTATGTCAGTCAGCTAATATTTCCCGTCGAGGAAGGCGATGATTAGGTATGCATGCGAAACACATGTCTTAACTATCTCGATTGATGTAGTTGCTTCACAATCTCGTCGATTGATCTCCCTCCTTACCTAGCATTTGACTGAAGCCTCATTCTCAATAGTGCTCAGCCTATTATACCACTTCACACGGGAGACAGCACACAGACATCTATGACTATGTCTAACTGTTATACTCTATTCCAGTTAGAAATGATTATTCACGGCGATAAAAGACAAGTTAAAGTTTAGGCGTCTTACCAAGTATGTTGAGTTTTTGGAAATTCTATCACTTTGAATACCAGATTCCGTCACAAGTCAGTACGTGTTGGAAAATCCTTGAAAACTAAGGAGCACAGGATAGCTAGCTAGCTAGCTAACTAGCTGCTTCGTTCTCGTTTGCGACACTTCAGAAGTATGCACACACACACACAATCTCATTAGGAACACGAACTCAAGACCTTTCGTGTTATAAGGTAATTCTGTCAGCCCGTCATCCTGTATTATCGGTGGCTTTTGCCCTAAAGTTCTCTAATTTGTGAAAAACTACTAACGTAGAGAAGTCAGATCAATTAATAAGGGAGTGCATCTACAGCGAGTGAGTTGGTTAGGGTTGTCATGTTTTTGCTAAATAATGAATCATTATCTTCTTCAAGATTAGCTGATAAAAGAAAGGTCAGAAGTGATCCGAACTATAAAAAAAAAATAGTGTATATCTCATTCAATGAGACTGAGTGAATTTTGAACATTGAACTTTGAACAGAAGTACAACACTTCACAAATTGCCAGATTCCACTATTCCATACAGCATACAAAAGTAGAGAAAATAGAGAAAGAAGAAATTCAGAACAAAAAGCACAACTATAATGAGCAGATGTGTGAGAGAAAAGAATAATAATAAAATAGAAGCTAGGTCTCCTGCTCTCAGCATTAAAGGGGTTCTGAAGAACGACGTGTACATCAAGCTACTCTATATGGGGGATCATAGCAGGCAGCTTGATAACTAGACAAAGATTGAATGCTACTGTTAAAAAGACTTTTTATGCAGCTAATATCATAATAGCTGTAAATATGAAGCTAATAAAGCCATCCATCTAAGCCCTTTAAACATGCGAAAAATCATGTCATATCACACTGTATTTATCAATTTGAATGTACGTGTGGACACACATACACAGGAGGGAGGACTCATCAATCTCTGCAAGCAAAGGCTGGCTTCAGAGCATATTCCTAAATGACTCCAGAACCCATTAATGGTGAGAAGAGGAGACCTAGCTCCTCTATTGCGAAACATATTATAGAGACAGGACATAAAAGCGACGTTTACACATCTTTTAAACCTATCAATAATAATATAGAAGAACAACAATAGATTTTTTATTGGATATAACTGGCAAATCACAAAGAGTGAATGCATCACCGCCAAGCAATGACAACGAGGATTTGGAGCCAACCATATTTTTCACTAATTGTCTTCAGCCTTCATTGGTTCTCACCATTCCGAAGTGGCCAGCTTAAACCAGCCGATGAAGCCATGTTTTGGTTCGACCACTATTACTATTTCAGCTAGCAATGCTGGTCAAGGAAGGCAATGCTTAGGTGTGCCTAACACATGTCCTGGCCATCTCAATCAATGCAGCTTTACAACTTTATCGATTAATTCTTCCTCCTTACATAACAATACTCGGCGCGTAACCTCATCCTATTGCACCTACCACTTAACATGGAAGAGGGAACGCGTTCATCTCCCCCCCACCCCTTTGGGTCGCTGTTGTTTAACTTTTCCAATATAGTTAGTTAGTAAGACAAGGCTGCCTACTATCGCCAATGATTTTCCTGATTGCAGTAGATTGGATAATGCGACAGACAGAGAGGAAACAAGGATAAAATGGACCCATACAAAGACAAACATGGAGGATCTCGACTTCGCCGATGATATATGTGTGATTTCTCACAAACTGGAAGATATGCAAGTGAAAAGCAACAAGCTGGCGAAAGAAGAAGCATTCAGAGAAGATAGGACTTCAAGTGAACATAGAGAAAACAGAGGTGATGAAGATTCCTGGGCAACATCAAAGCAACAACAACAGACGACAATCAGCATAAATGGAAAAAACCTGAAGGAAACAACCTCTTTTACCTACATATCTGGGAAGCATCGTTTCAACTACAGGCCGACGGAAATGATGAGGACATCAAAGCGATGATCAGGAGAGGAAGGGAAGCTTTCATTACTCTCATGTCTGTGTGGAGATCAACAGCACTCAGAATCAAAAATAAGATCTGGATTTTCAACTCCAATGTGAAGTCAGTCAGTGCTACTATACGAATCAGAGACTTGGTGCGTCATAAACAGCACCTAAAACAAACTACAGACCTTCATCAACAGCTGTCTTCGCTCAATACTCAAGATCAGATGGCCGGTCAGAAAAGATCAGTAACAGGGATCTCTGGAAATGAGCGAACTAAGCAGGAACCGATTGTGAAACAAGTAGGCAGAAAGAAATGGAGATGGATTGGCCATACGCTGAGGAAACCATCAAGTGACATCACTAGACAAGCCATTGCTCGAGTGGAACCCGAAAGGGAAGCAGCGAGTTGGTTGTCAGTGTTAGGGTGACTTGAAGGAGGTCATGTGAAGAGGAGATGAAAGCATGTGGACAGACTTGGAGCCAGGTGAAAACGTTGGAAGAGAACCGAAAGATGCTATGGAGACGCGCGGCTGAAGCCCTATGTTCCTCTAGGAATTAAAGGAAATAATAATAATATAGTTAGTTTGTTTGTTAGTTATATGACATACTTACCAAATCTGAACAAGAATTTGATGAATTCCACATACTTTCATCTAGATTACCAATTCTCAGCATACTAGAATGAATATAAAAGATAAAATTTAAAAAAATTAACTCATTTTTTGAAATCGATATAAGAATAAAACTTGTGCACTGTGGTAGAGTGTAATTCCATTATGGGTAAATTTTTGTTTTGATAAAGTCTCACAGTGTTATACAGTAATGTTTACTGATGACCACGTTTCGAGCACAATTTATTGTCGCTCATAATCATATCAAGGTACTCACACGACTCCCTAACTTCATTTATATGGTTCCATTATTTTTCACTTGATTTGATTGGTAGTAGTATTTTCCATATTTCAGGGACAAGCTCTGTAGGTTAAAGGACCCAGTTGATCCAATTAGACAAAATAATATAATTTACAAAATACCCTGCAATGACTGTGGGTAAGGTCAACTACATAGGTCAAATGGCAGTTAAGAGAACAAAGTGGAGATGTGTTTTTGAAACCCTATGTTCCACTCGGAACCCAAGGAAATAATAATAATAATAACAATAATAATAATAATAATAAACAGTCAATGATTTCTCACTATCTCTTACCTGTTTTCATCAGTTGCACCATGCAACTGTTCCAGCTTGCTGAATTGTTCCCTTTCCAAATGTTTACACATATCGTGTATCAATGATGCATAGGCACTGTATTGTTTTAAATTTAAACTGCTTTCAATCGATAATGGGATTAAATGAGGTAGAACTTTGGTTGCTAATTTCTCTCGACTTATACCCAATTTTTCATGACTAAAAGCTAAACGATATATACCTGGAAAGATATGTAGAAAAAAAGAAAGAAAATGATTTGAAATAATCCCAGTGGTGTTAGAAGTTCGCCCACAATCTGCAGCTATCCAGAAATCCAAGTCAAGCCAAACTGGCTATAACGCTGCTGATGAGCTCATTACCCAAACGAGCAAAATGACCGGCCGGTGTTTAGATCGCTTCCATCTATGATCCTGACTAGTAACCACACACCTGGTTTGTTGATGTGAGTATAATACAACTAAGCATCTTCTCAATCAATCAAGTAGTATATAGTGAGTATTAAATATAAATCCGAATGTTTTGATTGGACACCAGTCAGTAACTAGTGTGATGTGTCTAGTCCTTTCTTTGAAGCAGACTGAATTCTCTATTGTCAGTCAGGTTTGCAATGTGGCCACCATTCTAGGTAGCTCGTCATCACGGTGCACACATTGATTTGATGATATTAGATGGTTGGAGGCAATCGGCCATAGGCAGCCTTGTCCCACCTAGGTTTCGGGGTAGTTGGAACTCCACCAGGCAGCCAGCAAGGCATATCTGCAACCTTGAAGGAACTCATCTCATCCATTCTAAGATTCAAACCGTCACTACCCAGTGAGTGAGTGCTGCAGTCAGAGATGTTACCGATGAGTTATTCGGGCTGGATTGTATTGGATACTTCGATTGGAAACTAGTACAGTGTGTCTAGTCCTAGAGGTCCAAGGCTTCTTGTGACCGTTTGTTTTCAGCAATCTAATATCAACAATTCAAAGTGCACCGTGATGGCAAGCCACCCCTAATGGCATGGTGGCCACATTGCAAATCTGAATTCAGTCTGCACCAAAGAAGGGACTAGACACATCACACTAGTTAGTGACTAGTGTCCAACCAAAGTATCCAATATAGCCTGTTCTACAGGAGGTCAACCGCAAGCTCGAATAGCACAGTGGTAACCTCTCTGACTGCAGCACTCACGCGGTGACGCGGGTTCGAATCTCAGAGGGGATGATATGAGTTCTTTCAAGTTTGCAGATACGCCTTTCCGAATGATGGTGAGTTCCAACTAGCAAAAAACCTACGTCGGATAAGGCTTCTTATAGCCGATTGCCTCCAAGTATCTAATATAATCCTAATATATTTAAAAAAATAAATAAAACAAGGTAGTTCCGAGTGTTTCGCTGTATAACTCACAGATTCTTCGGCTAAATGACTTCGATTTTATCAAATAACAATATACAAATATGTGAATTTTGATGATGGATTGATTTAAGTTTGAGAACCACTGAAAATCAATCAGCACGGAGGAGTGGACAGTTGTTTCGTCATAGTTCGGCACTCTTCAGCAAGTATGCACCGACAACCTTTTGTACATTTTCACACCCTCTTCACACTTGTTGAATTGACACTCAACTACCACCTTTCTTCTCACTCGATAGCAATTTTTACGTTGTCAAATTTCTATCTTTGTGCTGTTGTTGAGTACTACGTCATTTACAACTTTTACTTTTGTTTTACTTCTAAAGCCACATCCGAGTAATTATAGCTACTATGTTACTTCAGTTGTATTACTCATTAATGGACCACTAAACATCTTTTGGTAAGTATAATTACGACTGTACGGCAGCCTCTGAAGATGATTTCGTCGATAAAGAAGCATTTTCTTCGCTAATGAATCTGTCTTTTATTATTATTATTATTTGAAAACAACGTATACACATATACACACATACGTTAAAATGAATTGAACTTGACTGAAGGTCACTTGTGGGTAAATATAATTTGAATCAAGCCAGTAAATATAATCAGTGATCACACATATTATCGATTTGTCATTGTCAAGTTGTCACATTGTGTGTATATGTGTGTATGTATGTATATTTTATACCACAACCTGTATGTGTGTGTCATTTAAATTGTACAGACAACAGACTGATACATAAGTGCATAATTATGGATGTGGTTTATTATAATAATTATTATTATTGTTCCCTTGGTTTCCTAGTGGAACATAAGGCTTAGAGGCTAAATATTTATATTTTAATAACAAATCGCATTCATCTACTTTGTTTAATTATACTACTACTTCGCTAGACAACACGATTTAGAGGTCAATGCGCTTTCTTCTGTTTTCGAGTATTGGGTTCTGTAGAGATTTTATTTGATTAGTTCAAGGATTTCATCATAAGCTGAAATCGGTTAGAGAACTATTGGAAAACCACCATCATCAGGGAGTACTGGACAGATGCTTCGTCATTCTGTGGGACTCTTCATCAGAACGCACTAAGAGGTCCTCGATCCGAAACCTGGTGGTTTCGTACCGATGAAAAGTCCTAAATTAGGACGAATGAGAAATATCACAAAAAAAAATCAATTTTATAATCCACCTTCATGGAATTCAACAAAGCCTTAGATTAAGTTCCTCACAAAAGACTACTCATGAAGTTGGAAAGTCTTGGTATCAAAGGAAGCTCACTAAACTGGCTCAGGGAATTCATCATAGATAGGAGGTAGAAAGCCAGGATAAACTCAAAACCCTCCTCTTAGACAATAGTGAGTAGCAGAGTGGACACAAGACACGATACTCGGACCTCTCCTATTTATTTTGTATATCAGTGAGCTATCTCTGCTCACCGACTCCTTCATGGTCCTATACGCAGATGACTTACAAATCTGGAGAGAGCTGAAGGGCGACAGTGATATGCTCACGTTGCAAGAGTGGTCCAGATAATGTATGGTCCCTATCAATGTAGCGAAATGTGCAACCGTGACACGTAAGCATCAGCCCCTACGAACTAGAGGGAATAACACTCCCATCACTTCAGACTCATTTGGATTTGGGTGTCATGGTAGGTCACGATTTAATGGCTACAGCACACTGAAGCGCGGTGGCTGCACGTAGTTTCAGATCCTTATGGTTAATTCACATAGCCTGTACTAGAGTCATTAGAGATATGTTCATCTCTGGTGAGGTCAAGACTGGAAAACTGCATCCAGGCCGCCAATCCTTGTCTAGAACGGGACTCACATATTTCAGAAAGGGTTCAAAGGAAGGCAACATGTATGGTTCTCGGTATGACCAATTTATCATACGAGGAAAGACTAGACAGTTTAAATCCCTTCTCCCTGTCATACCGTATAGAGAGAGGAGATTTAATCACAATGTTTAAAATTATAAATAATGACTACGACCTTGACCTATTGTCTCTCTTTCTTCCCACCAGGTCGGAACACCTTAGAGGACATAGCAGGAGAGTCCAACAGCCAAGAAGAAATCATACTGCTGTGGAGTACTGGTTCTCACACCGTATCATAAACTCTTAGGACCCACTCCCAGAAGAAGTCGTGTCTGCAACCTCAACTGGTTCATTCAAGAAGCGTTTAGACAAGCGCAGAAATTTACTAGAAAAGGATTAACATAGGCTCCAAACCTTCTATCCTCAACCAATAAATGTGAAATTTATAGAGCAGCTGCTTTTTAAAAAATAGACATTTCAGTTTTAATTGATTGGTTGCAGGTGGTTGTGTTTGCGCCTAGTCTATTTGGGGCAAAGATAAAGAATACCGAGCCACGGTGTGCAAATGCACCAATGACGACGACCTTGAACGCATACCATTTGTTGGATTACAGAATCTGCTGTGTATTTCACATGAAAAGGCCATTTATTTGCCAGGACAATTAACATGATAATATTCAAGGATTAGTTTTTGTAGGGATTCTGTTTGTTTTTACAAGTTTGACCACGGATTGATATCAGTTAGAGAACCACTGAAAGTCAGCAGGGGAGTACCGGACAGCTGTTTCATCCTGTTTTTGGGACTCATTGACAGTACACACCCACTGGGTAGGGTTCCAACTCGGGACCTTTCGGTTACAAGGCCAGTGAGAGCTCGTAAACAATTCAGACACTGGGATCCGACTAAATGGCTGTCAGACCATGAATTCTAACTTCTACCTATTCGTGATATATATTTAGCGCGACTGGCACCAACAGATGTAGCCGGTGAGAACTACATCCTCACTCCCAACTAGATGGACTCCAGGGGACTTCGTCCTGTAGCTCGCCAGTCACTAGAGAGCATCAGATTATTTCTCAAGATATAGTTTGTAGGGAGTGAGTAGTAGAGAGGTTTCGCGTGCGTTTCGGATTGTGAGGGCGATTGTTACTTCGCGGCTGCCCACACCGTGGAAGTTGGTTGCGTGACCGCAGAGCCCAGGGGACAACTGCTTGAGGCCGGTCATACGCGGCATCCACTCCTTGTGACTTATGATCTCCAATGAAACTGTTTTGTTTTTCTTTATTACTCCTTTGTCTCACACCTCTGCTCACTGTTTCTATTATGCTTTTCTTGTACTTTCTTCTCTTGCTTCGCGTGCTACACGGGGTGTGGCGACTTGAACTTCCGCACAATTGTGCAAAGTTCTATGTCGAAAACAGACAGACAGACAGTTTGTAGGGATTCTATTTGTGTCGGGTTAGACCACTGACTGATATCACGCTAATCTTGCATACAGTCTGAATACGAATATTAAAGGAATAGCTACACCTAGTCTACGCAAACTGTATGAGATTAGGCAACAACACAGTCAGAGTATCTATCACTAATAATACCGGCTTCCTGTGGAGTAATAACTGCCTCTAACTAAACCCGAAACAAATAGAATCCTTACAAACTAATCCTTGAAAATTAATCTCATGCTCGCCACCAGTCTGTCTGTCTGTTTTCGACATAGAACTTTGCACAAATGTGCGGAAGTTCAAGTCGCCACACTCCACTCCATGTACCACACAAAGCAAGAGAAGAAAGTACAAGAAAAGCAAAATAGAGACAGTAAACACAGGTGTGAGACAAAGGAATAGTAATAACGAAGAACAAAACAGTTTCATTGGAGATCATAAGTCACAAGGAGTGGATGCATCTGCGCTGGCCACTGAGAACGATTTTGAGCCATGTCACCAATTGTTTCCAACCATAGATTTTTACCGTCCCGAGGACCCCATCCAGCAAGCCAGTCTACACCTT